CTGATCATTGGCTCACTTTGGAGCGTTCCTTAGCGGGCTGTTTGAGAATGACATCCTGAAGCATGTTTTGGTCAATTTATGGAAAACTTTTCACAGGTCTCAGGTTCTAATAAATTGTCATGCCTTATTTGTCTTGGGATTTGACACTAAACCAAGCCTGATAAAATTGATTTTCTTTTTAAGGGCGGGGTGAAACATGAGCTTATTTTGATGTGTGAACCAAGTGACAGAATGTTTCAGGACAAGCATTACATGCAAGTTATAGGAGCTTTAGACCTTTTTAAAACTACCAGAAAGTAATGAGATGCTTGGGAAGGCCTTCTCAAAAAAGATGTGAAATGCTTGGGCTCATTTGGAACTTTCAAGCCAAATTATCCACAGTCATAGGCTGTTGGAAGGCCAGAATAAGGTAAACTCTGTGAGTCATTGTTCTTGATTGCAGCAGGGCCGGATGTGCCAAAAATACTTTGTATTCTCCTTAGAATTTTACTTGTGTGTTTGTCAGTCTCATTCAAAAAGGACTTCTGGTTAGACTTCTCTCGGGCTCCTTTGGGGACAGATTCTTTATTGCACATTGCAGTGTGGTGACCCAATCTTACTACTAGGTTGAACCATGTAAAACTTGATATGCTACTTTCAAAGAACAAAACCAGCAATATCATGTGATTGAACCTAGTAAGAGAGTCCCAATATCTTCTCCATCCCACCTCTCTAAAGTACATTTCTTCAAAACCAATGAGATATCCCCCAAACAAAATGAGAACCCAGTTTTCTCTCATGTGACTCCCCAAACTTGTAAATTTTATGGCTAAGAAATTTCAGATCTCGGGAAGTGTTTTCGCAGCTAGACCCAACAATGTATAGGCTGCTTCGGGATCCTGTTTCTCCCGGGGCCTACAGAACACACTCCCGGGCTTGGAGCCTACTGCTCAGCCGGGGACATTCCCAGAAACCGCGAGGAAATGCAGTTTGCTTTATGTCTCTAGCAGTGTGTCAGCAGTCTTAGGCTTGGCTGCGGCGTCCTTTCCCAGATTTGATGAAAACATGCCTTGCTGAGCTTGCAAATGTGCCCAGAGATGTTGCCAGCAGAATCTTGCTCGTCACTGTCACCGGCAGGGTTTTTAAAACCAGAGGGGAAGGGCAGATGCACAAGCTTGTGAAATGCCAACTGGCTGGGGGCTCAGTTCCATTCAGATTCAGTCATTTTCCCTTCATACACCAAAAAAACCCTTCTGTTTGGAGATTTGTTATCTCCAGGGTAAGGTATGGACACAACTAACTCTTCACAGGCCCAGAAAGGGCAGAGTCGTCTCCAACATCTCAAAGACCCCGAGCGGGTGTGATGGAGATACTCTCACTGCCATCCAGTCGATTCTGACTCACGGCGACCCTATTGTACAGAGGACAACTGCCCCTATGGGTTTCAGAGACTGTAACTCTTCACTGGAGTAGAAAGCCTCATCTTTCTCCCTCAGAGCGGCTGCTGGTTTTGAACTGCTGGATTTGGGGGTAGCAGCAAAGTGCATAACCACTGTGCCACCAGGGTTCCTATTGAAGATAATTAGTATAAACCATAGGTTGCCAAAATTACTGTATACATTCCAGTATAAACGGACCCGGATATCCACCGAGGTACCTAATTTTACCACAAAAACTGTATAAAGAATGTGCTGAAAAGCTTGGCTTATACACAAGTATATATTGTATTAGACCTACTGCTCCATTTTTGGGGGGGCGGGGAGTACTCAATGCCCCCTTGGCAGTTAAAAACTCCCATAAAAACCCCCAATCAAGGACCAAGTGTAGGGATCTGCTTTTGCAGCCCCCTTGGAACATTCCAGCGCCCCCACCCGCCCCCCGCCCCACGGGTGGTATCCTTTAGTTATTCCATGGTTTCAACTGATTTCTTTCCACTGACTGTGGAGGCAGAGCTGTAATAATTTGGGGATATATAATTTTTCCAGCACCCTGCTAATACCACAGCTAATCTACTAGGAGATTTCGAAAAGTTTGGTAATGTGAAATGTAAAGAAAACAGATTTTTCCTATGAGCTTTTTGAAGCCCTGGGATAAACCTCAGATAGGGGTGGTCTGTAAAAGATGTTCCCTCAATGAGAAAATAATGTACAAAGAATATAGCAAAAGAAAAAAAGTCAGAAGGCTGCCCTTTATTCATACAGATTTTATATATAGTGGCATATGCCACTGGAGAAATCAGAAATTCGTAACACATAAGTTGGTATTGGAAATACAAAAATCATTTGAGAGTCAAGAAATCAGGTTGACAGCACCACAAGGGTTTTGCTCAGTCTGAGCAGGTATGTAAGATCCAAAATAACGAATACCTACAAGATGCGGAGGCTGAATAGCATCAGACGATGTGGGTAGCTTCCAACACTATTTCCCCACCGCCCAGTGGGCAACTGCAGGCTTCTGCCAGGAGGCCTGGGGGACAATGAAAGGACAGCAAAGCCCAGACCATTCTTCCTTCCAACCTTCAAAGCAAGCATGTGACAGCATTTCGCAAGCTTTGAGGGCTTTTGTCCCTTCTCACCTGAAGGCATGGTATCAAAAGGTTAGTAACACACACACACCACACAAGGCATTCGTGAGCAAGTTAGAGAAATTGAAAGCCGACCTTTGACTGAAGTCGAATCCCACCTCAGTTACCAAATTATCTGATACCTACAGTGAAGAATAAACCTAAGTGAATAATTCTGCATCGGAGGAGGGTCTCCACTCCACACTGCTGAGCGCTGTCCATTTTGTAAGTGTGGGCCCATTAGAGAAGTACCGGCGGCCCGTAAAGAAAGAGCATGTCCTGGGTGAGAGGCAGGGAAGAGGGAGGCAGGACTCTCCCAAGAGCGTTCCTTTCAAGTACCTTCCGCTCATGAGGTCCTCGTTGGATGGAGTCGTCCCCATTTCAGACCTTGTACGTGGAAACCCTACCTAGGGTGGAGTTGAGTCGGTACTGACTCTACGGCAGTGGATTTGGTCTGGTCTGGTCTGGTTTGCGTAGGAGGCCCATACAGATGTCTCGTCCTGACCTGGCTGAGCTGAACGCCTGTAGCCTGTGACCAGGCAGGAATTTCAGAGCTGGGCTCCTCATTGCATCTTCTCCTGGAAATTCTTCTCTCATCTGAGAACAGTGGGAAGTCATGCCTTCTTAAACACTTCCTGCTCTCGATGCTGATCTGCAGACTCCCCTCCTACTGAAACATTATTAGGACTTGTCTGCTTTGTCCTCCATGATCCGCTGCCAGTTTCCTGCCGAGGCAAGGTGGTGTTCCTTTGTTCCAATGAGATATTGTCCCATTAAGAGGAGGATTTCAAAATCCAAGCAGGAGAGAGCATTGTAGTCGCTGCCCCTTCATTTGCCCCTGTGATATACCTACCACGCTCTCTCACCTCCCCTTCCAACATGTATTCTCTCGCTAACCCATGAGACTGTTCATTTGTTCACTTCGCACCTATTTCTGGAGTGCTTGTTATGTGCAAGGCACTGCTGAAGAACTGAACGAGCAGCCCCACACAGGCTCTGCTCGCAAGGAGCGTGGAGTCTGCCAGAGTTGCCTAAATGCTTTCACAGTTCGTCCTTTCTCGCTGGGTACTAGCAGAGGCTCCCGTTTGGAATGTTGTCAAAGGGCTTAGTGTTCAAGCACAATTACCACCCACAGGGCAGAGGCTGCTATTCGCTCCATGGGGATGGCGCGCCATGCATCAGGATGCGAAAGATGTCTTTTGGCTCCTGAAGAATGGGATGGGGCCTCCAGCGCAAAACAACATGACATGCATGCTGAGATTGCTGCCAGGAAGACAGAGGCGGGACAAGGACACAAAACGCAAGCTGGATGCGCGCTATGTAGATTGCGGGTCAGCTGATACTGGAACACGAACTTATTGTCAAGGTGGTGGGCCTGTTATGTGCTGATAATGGGTGAAATCAAGTGCCTGAGCTACCAGGAAAGAACCCCATGCCAAAGAGAAATCCCTGAAATTCTGCAACAGGAGTTGTAAGTAATTGCTGGGTGACCCACAGCAAGGGGGTCCCCAGGGCATCTGTCCACTGGGATGCGAGCCTGACCAGGGCTTTCTCCTATGAGATACTTAGCTCCCTGAAACATGTGACCAATCATCATACATTTTAAGAGCCCACAAAGCTGGCAATGTATTGTCTAGCACGGGTTTGTCTCTTATTGAACTGGGGCTAAGGCTGCAGGAGCAGAGGAGTGCATGGGGTGGGTGTTGTTTCTTTAAAGATCAGAGGCTGGCTGTAAACCAGTCGGAACTGGAAGGACATTTCCCTGGGCATAGGGCATGTCACTGATGGCTCAGAGCATTTTGCCAGGCGCCTCATTTCCCGGGCTGGCTGTCTCCCTCTCTGTCAGGGGGGTTCCTCTGTGCCCAAGGTCTGCAGGAGAGGCCTGGGCTTTCTCATGTGATCTCTTTAGAAAAGAAAGCACTCCAGTCTAAAGCCCTTTGCAACCTCCAGGTGAGGTTTCATTTGGAGAATGCCAAGTGCAATTAAGGGCCATCAAGGGGAAACAGTGAGCGCAGGTACACAGAGCTGTTCACGAATCAGGGTGTCAGCAATTCAAACTGGCCCCCAGGCCCAGGAAAAGCCAAGTCAGAAAAAGGTGGGGGAGGGGGCTAGAACACTAAAGGCCCTGCACCCCACTCACTCACTTTGAGACCTGCCCCAGAATGCCGCCCAGTGCTGTTACCTCCATGGTCTAACCTAATCGTCTAACTCCCACCCTCAGCTGCTAAGTCAGACCAGCCTTCCAGAAGGAGCCATTTCCGCCACTGAGAATGGTCAAGGGATCCGCTGACATTAGTCTCCCCGAGCCCTCTGGGGCCGGGTGTGGTTCTTGGTTTCATGAGGTAGCTCAGTTGTGAGTTGATGCGTGTGATGTGTGCCGCCTGCCACTCAAAGCTATCCTGTTCCCTTTTTAATCTGCAAGATTATAAAAATACCAGTATTCGCCCCCCGCCCCCCGTTTTATAAAAATGATTTTAGAAGACAAAACGAAATGAAAAAAACCCCCACACGGGTCTCCTCGGTTAAACTTCGGTTCCATCTTGTAAATTGTTGTGGACTCGGACTTCCAGGTTCAGCTTTTTCACTTTCACCCCTTTGGACGTATAGGCCCCCTTGGGCTCACTCAGTATGTTGACGTTCCGCACAGTGCAGTACTGTCTGTTCACGTTCTTCTCCACTCTGTCCAGCTTCCTCTTGGGCACGTCGACCTTTGTGTTCAGAGGGTATTCTTCCAAGAAATCCTCCGCGGGCGGCTTTTTGGGCTGTTTCTGGCATTTCCTGGTGATGAAACAAGCGACCAGAAACACCAGCAGTAGAAGCATGATGGCAGCCAAGGCACTGCCAATGGACGCCCCAGTTTGGGACAGAGAAGCAGCGACAACTGGCTCTTGCATCTCCAAATTCAGGGACTTCATATTAGTGCCATTCTTGACTTGGTCCCCTTCATTGTCATAGATGAGGGAATCATGCAGGGTCAATCGGCCACTGGGGTCTACCAGGTCTCTGCGGTTGCGCCTCAGCGGGGCTGTGAGGGAGCGCTGGACCCGGGGTCCGGAGATGGTGTCTGGGCCAATGATGTAGATGACCTGGAGGTACCACTGGTGTCCTGCTTCCACCTGCAGGAGGCGGAACACAGGGAGACAGAACACGTCATTGCTGCCCCAGACACCTCTGGAGAAGGAACTGGGGGTACAACTGCTATCATACGCTTTGATATTTATGATTTGGCTAAGTGTTACCCACATGGCTATGCAATTCAGCACAGACCCAAAAAGGCAACATGAAGAACTTAGGGAACACTAGAGTGCTGCACACGCTCCTGAGGGCCACAGGGACGCGTGAGGACATTCAAAGGAAAGAATTGCATCGTTGCTTTGGCCAGTGGGGCATCGATGGTGCAAATTCTGGGGCAGTGATCAACATCGTGACAACAGACAAGGGTCTTCCAGCAAGACTGCTGCAACAAGAACCCGGCAGTCCCGAGACGATGTCATCATCCTTTGACAGCCTAGCCTGGGACTTGGCGCCTTGCTCCGGTTCTCACCTTGTAGAGTGCGTCCACCTTCAGGGTAAAGCCATCCACTCCCGGCATGCTGCTGACCACGTGGAAATCAGGCAACTCGGAAGCAAAGTGGGCCTCAAAAGGCACATCATGGAAGTACTGATCGGTGACCTCGGGCTGGCTGCGGTCCTGGAGTTTCGGGGGGGAAAGACATGTGAGATTTAGAATGCTGCAGTCATGAGGGCGCAAGCGGAGCGAGGTGGCCTGGACTCTGCTTGAGGGCGGAGCCGGCAGGTACGTGGTACAGAGGCTTCCCTGTAAACTGATAGATTGAGTAATGATGACCCTGCTCGGAGGGGGTAGGCAAGACTACTTGGTGGCTTCTGTGATCGCAAGAGACCAAGAGTGTGCACGGTTTTCAACAGCTGACTTTTCAGAAAAGCACTGGTTTCCCATAGCAGCTGAGCATATAAGCCATTTGTAGCACCCAGGGACTATAAAAATATATTGAGTCGTTTAAAAACAAGCCCCGAATCATTCATATAAATAACCTATTCTTTTGTGGAAATACCTATATTAAGCTCCTCCCCTCCAAGAGGGTCCTATTCTTTTTCATTTTTACAAATCTCAGCAAAAGAACCGGATGCTGCTAACTGCTTCTGTGTCCAATCAGCTGTGTGTGAGAAATGCTGCTGTGATTGATGTAGATGAAAAAAAAAATCTGGCCACAAACAGCAATGTCATTGTAAATAGGGGAGGATTACAATAGCCTTTCCAGGTTTAACAGTAGGTATTTTAAAAATATCCTATGAGAACTGACAGCGCGGTTTTTAAAAGATCAGTTATCAATGTAGAATCTGAAACGTTTCATATCTGCCTCTACAGTTTTGGTTGTCTTTACGCACAAAAGAAGGAGTGAAAAAAGATAAACATCATCTTCACACCACTGTAGCTGTCATTCGATGTGCAATGCTGTGCACTCTATGAAAGTGCGCTGGACCATGCGTCCAGGAACCTGGCTCAGGTCCTTTTCTTCCTAAGCGGTTACTGTCAAGTTGATTCTGGCTCACAGCAGCCCCGGGAATGTCGGAGCAGAACTGTGCGTCACCGGATCCGCAATGTCTGCTTGTCCGCAGTAGATCACCAGGCCTTTCTTCCAGGGTGTTTCTAGAGCAGCGGTTCTCAACCTGTGGGCCGAGACCCCTTTGGGGGGGTCGAACGACCCTTTCACAGGGGTCGCCCAATTCATAACAGTAGCAAAATGACAGGAAGTAACAACGAAAATAATTTTATGGTTGGGGGGTCACCACAACATGAGGAACTGTATTGAAGGGTCACGGCATTAGGAAGGTTGAGAACCACTGTTCTAGAGGGACTTGAAGCTAACTTTTGAATCAGTAGCATTAACCATTTTCAGCACCCACTCCCTGACCAGAGAAGACATAAACCAAGGAACGAGAGCAGAAGTAGGAGTGAGAGCAAGAGAAACGCAATGCAACCTGGGACTTTATCAGCTTTAGGGGAGACCTGGGGGCACAGTGGTTACCTGTTGGGCTGCTAAGGGCTGCAAGGGGAGCAATTTGACACCACCAGCTGTTCCTCTCAAGAGAAAGACTAGGCTTACTACTCCCCTGCAGGGTGACAGTCCAGCAACTCACAGGGGCAGTTCTACCCTCTCCTGTTGGGTCGCTGTGGGTTGGCATCTACTTGATGGCAACGAGTTTGGGTTTATCAGTTGGAGGAAGAATTCATTACTAAGAGGATGGATCAGCTTTTGAACACGTAACAGCCGGCTTACCAGCAGCAGGAATCTGTGCTTCAGGTGCTTGTTGGGCTGGATGCACCCATACTGTGGCCCTTCATTGTAGATTGTGCCTGTGGGGTCGAAGAAAGGCACGTAGCCATCCTTGCCAGTACAAAGATAGACCTTCTCTAGTTGGAGTCTGTAAGCAGAATTGAGGTTTTGCTCTGGATTCCAAAGCACTCGGCCATAAAGGATTTGACCTGGAAAGACAAGAGAAGCAAGCGGTGTGAATCAGGTCACACACATTAAAGGGAGAGAAGACTCTGGCCAGGGTAGTGAAGGCTTTCTCATGCCCCCAGGAGTCAAAGTTACCTTTCCATGAAGAGCTCTAAGGTTCCTCGTGCCCTGAAACACTCACTCATCCAATGAGTCATTTCGCTCAGCGAGCCTGGGTAAGCATTTAAGAGACATCAAGCGATCTGTCCGATAAAGGTGAGTGGAATGGAGTTGAGGGGACAGAAATAAGAGCAAGCAACTGCTAAAAACAGGAACCATTCAACTCATACAGTTTGCCGGGGCAGTGTGATATGCTTCACAGGTCCTGGCTTGTGTCCTCCTCAAAACCACACAGAGGCCAAAAGAGGGGCATCATGCGATCAGCGCACTTGCAAAGCGAGCAAGTGGCAGTGGTAGAACCACCCACTTTTAATCACCCAGGACACTACCTGATTAAGTTCCACCCTAGGAAACAGTATATAAGGTGAAATAAGGACAGAGTTGAGCACAGAAATCTGCCTGCTGAGGCCAGGGGTCTTTAAGGCAACGGTGTTTGAATAGAATTGTGAACCGTGAGCAGGAATTGGTCAGACTACTCGGGAGCCTCTAATTGAGGCATGGAAGGGCACCCTTGGCAGAAGAGAGCACATGTAATAATTTTGCTAAAGTAGAAGGGGCCCTACATTTCACGTGGCTACTCTTTCCTTAGTCCCTACTATGGCGGCCAGCTCTTTGTCTACATTATCTCACTTAACCTTCCCAGAAGCCACCCAGACGCGGTCATCATTTTCATTTGAAGTAACTCACTCGAGTTTCACAGCGATGGAGTGGAAGGAGGGCTTGATAACAGACCGTCTGACTCCAAAACAGATGCCTCTCCACCCACCCATGGCCCTGTGTGAACAAGTGTGAACGATGCGGGGGGTGGGTGGAGGCTCTGCAATTAGAGGCTTCTGAGTAGATGGCTCACCAAGGCGAGGACGGGAAATACAACTTTCCTCTAGTTCCTAAATGTTTCCTCCCCGCTCCCACTACCATCAAATTCGACCTTGCAAGTCTGGCTAGACCAGAGGATGTACACTGGTACAGATAGGAACTGGAAATACAGGGGATCCAGGGTGGATGATCCCTACAGGATCAGTGGTGTGAGTGGTGATACTGGGAGGGTAGAGGGAGAGTGGGTTGGAAAGAGGGAACCGATTACAAGGAACTATATGTGACCTCCTCTCTGGGGGACAGAAAACCGAAAAGTGGGTGAAGGGAGACGTTGGACAGGGCAAGATATGACAAAATACCAATTTATAAACTATCAAGGGCTCATGAGGGAGGGGGGAGCGGGGAGGGAGGGGAAAAATGAGGACCTAATGTCGGGGGTTTAAGTGGAGAGGAAATGTTTTGAGAATGATGAGGGAGAATGATGTACAAATGCGCTTTACACAATTGATGTGTGTATGGATTGCGATAACAGTTGTATGAGCCCCTAATAAAATGTTTTTTTTTTTTAAAAAAGGTGAGGACGGAAGTCTTGAGTATGTAAGCAATGAGGCACCAGGAAGCTTTGAAGCGGCTGAAATATCTTGAAATTTAAAAACAAGCTGGAGTCATCGAGTCCACGAATAGGAACTACCTAAAAACTGCTACATGGCAAGTTGATGAACCCAAGAAGTGTCTAGAAACAAAATTCCATTCACCTTAGTGACCGACACGGGAGGCCAGGAAGTAACGGGGAATAACAGAGCCCTTGGACCTGTATACCTGGGAGGAGAGTCACACAATCAATGAGTTAAGGGATGTGAGAGAACGTGCCCAAGGGGACATTGTGAGGATGGCACTGCACCATGCACTGTTTCGTCTGTTGTGCACACAGCTGCTATGGGTCGGAACCGACTTGATGGCACCTGGCACCAACGACCTCGACAACTCAAGAGGCCTGACAGCCATCTCCACTTGAAGAGGTTCAGCAGACACGCTGAAATAACTGAAGCGCAGGAAAGACCAAAGGTCAGGTGTGCCTTTATGAAACGGCTGCGTAGTAGTAGAAGTTTAGAAAGCTCAGAGCAAAGAGATGGTCAGAGCCATGGGGATGGAAAAGACTGACCAGAGAGGTAGCACTGAGAGGGAGACAGAGGACAAGGGTCCCTGGGCTGGAGAATGAATGAGAAATGGTTCAGAGGTAAGACGGTGTCAGGCTAGGAAGTCAATGGGAAGAGTGTCAAATCTCCTGATTTTGGTGTCATCAGTGAGAGAGTTGAGAGTTGAAGAAAGAAGACAGCCAGCAGCGGACAGAGGCCTGACTGTGCAGAGCGGCGGTGGAGACGCGTTCGCCAGAAAGGGAAAATGAGAATCAAGCTGCCACTGGATAGAGGAGAGCCAAGGGAAGGTTTGGTCTTGTTTTGTTTGTTTGTTTCCCCTTTCTTTCCTTGCGATGGTCAAGAACTTAACTGAGTGTTAAGGATCAAAGAAAACCCAGATAAGAGGAGATTAAATGCAATAAAAGGCCGAAGGAATCCTCTAGAGAGTACAGGCAGGTGGTTGGTCTATTCCTTTATTCTGTCAACAAGTACTCATTATGTATCGGGGCACTGGTGACACAGGGTCTACATGTGTTATTGGATGAAAATCTCTATTCTGGCAGATTTTACAATTTAGTGGTGAAGATATACAATAAATTCAGTAGAGACCATAGATGATACAGTATTAAAAAGTGTGCTAAGTACTGTAGGTAATTAACAGAGTGCTGTAGATGCAAATACTATGGAGGCCTATTTAGTCAGCATACATCTTTTTGAGGAAGTAACACCGAAGTAGGGGGCTAAATGATGAGAAACTGGCTTTTTGAAACCAAGAGAATCATATTTGGGCTGGAGATGATGCAGAAGGACCATTTCAAGAAGAAACAATATTGTGGAAAGGCACTTGCTATCCCTCCGAGGCTGGGAGGCAGTGGGAGGTGGCATTGCTCTCAGAGACACTGAAAGGGAAAGCAATTTACCCAGGTACCTCCATGGTAGAATCTGCTGGAAAACTCCAGCTTTGCCAATCAGACCAGAGTTCTCACAGTGGTCATGGTGGCGTTCATTGCCAATGAGTCAGCTCCTGCTCCTGATGCACTTAGGTGTAATAAATAGAATGTAAACTACCTCATCTCCAGCCTTTGGTACATTTGCACCTATCGCTGAACACCTATTGCGTCTCACCCAGATTTTCCCTTGTTTTTGTGGGCCGACCACATTACCAAACATGATACCCTTTTTTAGTGATTGGTCCTTCCTGATGAGCGAGACAAAGTCTCACCATCCTTACTTCTGAGAAAATGGTGCCATCCTGCTGATCATTATAGAGTCAAGGTCACTACCAAGTGTGTACTCTTATTTTGAAATAACATGATGGAAGAATATGGGTCTATACCTTGGTTAGAAGCACACCAGCCTGTGTGATCATGAGGTGTTGAAGAGATCATGTATCAGACATCATCAGAGCAAAAAATCCTATCATTGTGAATGAGGAGGAGTGCAAAGTGGAGACCCAAAGCCCATCTGTAGGCAACTGGACATCCCCCTTATGGAAGGGTCGCGGGGAGGAGACCAGCCAGTCAGGGTGCAGTGTAGTAACAATTAAACATACAACTTTCCTCTAGTTCCTAAATGCTTCCTCCCACCCACTCCCACTATCAAGATCCCAATTCTATCTTGCAGGTCTGGCTAGACCAGAGGATGTACACTGGTACAGATAGGAACTGGAAACACAGGGAATCCAGGGTGGATGATCCCTTCAGGACCAGTGGTGAGAGTGGCGATACTGGGAGGGTAAAGGGAAGGTGGGTTGGAAAGGGGGAACCGATTACAAGGATCTACATGTGACCTCCTCCCTGGGGGACGGACAACAGAAAAGTGGGTGAAGGGAGACGTCGGACAGGGCAAGATATGACAAAATAATAACTTATAAATTATCAAGGGTTCATAAGGGAAGGGGGAGCAGGGAGGGAGGGGAAAAATGAGGAGCTGATGCCAGGGGCTTAAGTGAAGAGCAAATGTTTTGAGAATGATCAGGGCAATGAATGCACAAATGTGCTTTACACAATTGATGTATGTATGGACTGTGATAAGAGTTGTGTGAGCCCCTAATAAAATATATTTTTTTTAAACCCCAAAATAAACAATGGTGGGGAGTTAAATAAATGCTGAAGATGTGCCGAGAGATTGGTCTAGGAATTTATCCCAAAGCGTCTCAGGTGCCGGGAGAACCTCTGCAGGCCCCAGGACTGACTTACCTTTTGAGAAGGCTCCCTTGTAATCCATTTCCGCCAGTGACATCTCGGCCGTGTTGGGATCCATGAGGAAGACCTTTTCGTTATTGCAGAGCTGAAATTCGGTGTTGAGGGAATAGACGACCGGCACGGGGCGGCTGGTCTGCTGGAATGCGATGGGTATCAGAAACCTGAAGCAGGAGAAACAAGAGCTCCTTGAGAGGTGGGTCAAGTGTGTAGGGATTAATCCAGCTGCCCTTGCTTCCCACGCTTCTCAAGTCTGTGAATACCGTCTTATTGGAGGCGTTAGTTACTGACTAAAGAGCTGTGTGTCAGGGAAGGGCTCTATGTGTTTCACCACTACGAGGTCAATCTGCTCTTCAGAGCGCATTGGTAAACCACAGCAAAATAACTCCAAAGCCAAAAGTTGC